TTTCAGTGATAATTTTGAAAGGCCTTCTTTAAGCTTTATATAAAATTTTTGCACTACAACTATATTGTACTCATGATTTTCTTCAATACAACATGTGTTTTTAATCATTGAATGCTAGGGAATTTATTATTTGTGATACAATTCATTTCAGTAATAAATTTGAAATGTGTTCTTTAGAGTTTAGATTTTGTTGATTATAACCACATTGGTCTCTTGGTTTTCTTCCGTATAACATGAGTGTAATTCATATATTCAATCTGTTAGGTATAACTCATATATCATATATGGGACAGATGCTGGAGCGGAGCGGAGCCAACGAGCGGAGTAGAGCGGAAAGATTTGTTCAATCGGGGGAGTTTCATTATGTGGGCTGAGGGTGCGGGGGCAACACCCCGCAGTTTAGTACAGGGGTAATTTAAGTAATTACATATTGTACTATAGGTTTATATATATGTCATGTTTGTAACCCTAGGTTAGATTCTGATATTCTTAATCTTATATTTTGTATTCTTTTCTAAATATTAAAATAGCGAAGTCGCCGCTCTGCTCCCGAGGATGTAGGCATCTTTGCCGATTGCCGAACCTCGTAAATCCTCGTAAATCTCTGAGTGTTATTCTGGATTTGTGTCGATTCCTAGTTTTTCTTCGCCCTAATTTCTCAACACAATCATTAAATATTAGATCAATAATTTTGAAACTTCTTTACGTTTTATATAAATTTTTTTTCACTACAACCATGTTGTACTGCTGGTTTTCTTCACTACATGTGTTTTCAATCATTGAATGCTAGGAAATTTGTTATTTGAAATTAAATTGCTTTCAGCAATAAATTTGAATGGCGTTCTTTATGATTTTTGTAGTCTTTGTTGACTGTAATCATGTTGTTCCCTTGGTTTTCTTCAGTACAATATGGGTGTAATCTGTGATTTCAACCATTGCATGCTATGGAATAGATTGCATGTGGCTCAAAAGCTTTAACTATTTGATTTTTTAGTAGGTTTTATGTACACTTTGTCTACAATCATGTTTTACTCTTATTTATATTGAAGAGACATGGTTGTAGGCAATGTTATCATTCTATGCATGCTGAATCATGGCTAACACAGTATTTTTGAATTAGTGAGATCGTAAAATACAAGACTTATCCTCAACATGAATTATGTATGATTTAAATCATAATATATTGAGGTCTAAGTGCTTATTTGTGAAGAAGAAAGACACTATTGTAACTTGAGTTATTTCAATATTTTTCTTCTTTATTTATGATTGTAAATATTGGATTAGAGTGATGTTAAAAGTGATAAAATCGACCATTCTAATGTGCCTACATTATAAAAAGTGCTTGTTTGTTAATGGGGGTAATCTATGATTTATTTTTGTAGTTTTTCAAACTTTATTTTGAATACATGATGGCTAAAAAATATATGATTATTCAGGACTCAGTGGCAAAACAGGAAAGTCAAAAATCAACTAAGCAAAAAAGTTGTGTGTACCAATATTCCTAATGAGAATGATGCAAATAATTCGAAATGATCATGCAAATTACTGATAAACACAAAAAACATTTTTAATAGAACAATGAAGTTCCAAAAATCAGAAATTAAAGTAAAAAAATTTTTATAAAGCTGTCAGTAAAAAAAAAAATCATTGAATGCTAGGGAATTTATTATTTGTGATACAGTTCATTTCAGTAATAAATTTGAAATGTGTTCTTTACAGTTTATGTAGATTTTGTTGATTATAACCACATTGGCCTCTTGGTTTTCTTTTGTATAACATGAGTGTAATTCATATATTCAATTTGTTATGTATGGCTCATATACCATAAATGAGAGGGAGCGGAGCGGAGCCAACGAGCGGAGTAGAGCGGAAAGATTTGTTCAATCGGGGGAGTTTCATTATGTGGGTTGGGGGTGCGGGGAGTTTGGTACAGGGGTAATTTAAGTAATTATATATTGTACTATAGGATTATACATATATGTCATGTTTGTAACCCTAAGTTAGATTCTGATATTCTTAATCTTGTATTCTGTACTCTTTTCTAAATATTAAAATAGTGAAGTCGTCACTCTGCTCCCGAGGATGTAGGCATCTTTGCCGAACCTCGTAAATCTCTGAGTGTTATTCTGGATTTGTGTCGATTCCTAGTTTTTCTTCGCCCTAATTTCTCAACACAATCATTAAATATTAGATCAATAATTTTGAAACTTCTTTACGTTTTATATAATTTTTTTTTTTACTACAATCAAGTTGTACTGCTGGTTTTCTTCACTACGTGTGTTTTCAATCATTGAATGCTAGTAAATTTGTTATTTGTAATTAAATTGCTTTCAGCAATAAATTTGAATGACGTTCTTTATGATTTTTGTAGTCTTTGTTGACTGTAATCATGTTGTTCTCTTGGTTTTCTTCAGTACAATATGGGTGCAATCTGTGATTTCAACCATTGCATGATATGGAATAGATTGCATGTGGCTCAAAAGCTTTCACTATTTGAATTTTTAGTAGGTTTTATGTACACTTTGTCTACAATCATGTTTTACTCTTATTTATATTGAAGAGACATGGTTGTAGGCAATGTTATCATTCTATGCATGCTGAATCATGGCTAACACAGTATTTTTGAATTAGTGAGATCGTAAAATACAAGACTTATCCTCAACATGAATTATGTATGATTTAAATCATAATATATTGAGGTCTAAGTGCTTATTTGTGAAGAAGAAAGACACTATTGTAACTTGAGTTATTTCAATATTTTTCTTCTTTATTTATGATTGTAAATATTGGATTAGAGTGATGTTAAAAGTGATAAAATCGACCATTCTAATGTGCCTACATTATAAAAAGTGCTTGTTTGTTAATGGGGGTAATCTATGATTTATTTTTGTAGTTTTTCAAACTTTATTTTGAATACATGATGGCTAAAAAATATATGATTATTCAGGACTCAGTGGCAAAACAGGAAAGTCAAAAATCAACTAAGCAAAAAAGTTGTGTGTACCAATATTCCTAATGAGAATGATGCAAATAATTCGAAATGATCATGCAAATTACTGATAAACACAAATAACATTTTTAATAGAACAGTGAAGTTCCAAAAATCAGAAATTAAAGTAAAAAAAATTTTATAAAGCTGTCAGTAAAAAAAAAATTTATACTAAAAAATCTAGTTTTCAAAAGGCACTAAATTTTAATAGAACTGTGAAGTTCCAAAAAACAAAAATTAGGACTTGTTCTACAATGTTTAGATTTGCCTTTGATTTCAATAGTAATTTGAATGGTAATAAACTTATAGAAAGTCATAATCATTTATCAGCTAAGCCGTTTGATTAACCTCTCTTGAGATTGCATTAGGGCATCAGTGAAAACAAAACAGTTGTGTTACAATCAATGACACGAGCAGGGATTTGAGTGATTGATGCATTTGATTATCTTGTTGAGGAAGAGGAATAGAGAAAGTCAATTTTTTGAAAAGGGGATGCATTTAATTATATTCAAAAGAGAAAGTCATCAACAAGTTCTGTCATTTGACATAAGAACTTGACATAAATCCCAACTAGAGTCAAATCATGCCCGGATCGAGCCGTTAAACCAAATTTGGAAGCTTTTGGTGTAAAATTGAAAGATCAAACGAATTTCAAATCCGACAAGCTTATAGTTAAATTAAATGTCTAAGCGAGACGAATTCAATGAGCCCAAGATGATTCAATTTTAACATCGTTAAGGCACTCAAATGTCCGCAGAACATCGTCCGATGGAGTGGTCCAGATTTCTTATTTATTTGCAGAGAGGCATCTCACATACTCTATAAATAAAAACTTACATTCTTCATGAATAAGGGGCTGAGACCTGAGCTTGGAGTGGGATTGTATGCAGAATGAGTTGGTCTAGTGTTCTACACCGAAAGTCCAGTGAACGCCGCCACCTCCTATAACCGTCGACCACCGTCAGCCACCGCTCGTCAGCCATCATCGGCTACTGTCAGTGGCCCCCTTGGTCGTTGAAACAAATCCCCTTATGAAATCACGATGCACACTATGAAATTAGGGCATGCGTTGCAGAGTGACGAAGCACCTGACATTGCAGCACAGTGTCCTAAATGTTGTGCAATGACACATCTCGAAGACAGTGTACTGAAGTTCCAATAACTACTCCCAACTGCAATCACTCCATGCCATTGTGCAACAAACATTGCACATAGAAGAACTATGTAGTCCTTTCCCGCCTGTGAGACAAGAACATGTACGTGTACTCGCTAATGCATAATGGATCGTTCTGATTGAGCAATACCCCATGATTTTTTCTCTTTTCATATATTCAATATAAAAACTCCTGATGCCTCTGCTTGTCACTTTTATTATTTGAGTGATTTCGTACTATGCTAAGATGATAACTCTGCTTGTCACTTTTATTATTTGAGTGATTTCGTACAATGCTAAGATGATAATACTTTACTGCCACGAATTCTCTAGCACACATCCAATATAATTAAGTTCATGCATGCTTAAATAAAGCAAACGTAAAGATATTAACATAAGCACATAAACCTATTAGGATTGTTCAATGAAAATGATATTAATGCATATGGATAGAAGATGACATAGATATAAGAAAGGATGATTTAAATGCATACCACTCAATCCTCATGTATTAATATATCTGACAACTAAATTTTAATTTTTATGTATATGTCACCTTATCTATGCAACGAAAATATTTGTTTCACTTTATAGAAGTTAAAATAGTGAGATTTTAATATGATATGAAAGATTTGGGTTTTATAAATGTAAAAATCAGAGTTCAGGTTATTAGATATTTAAACCCATAAGAATTAATCAGCACAAATAAAAAAACAGCCTCTAAATAATCCATTAATTTTCGACATGCGCCACTAGTGCATATTGTTGTCATAAAAGTAGAACTCTACCAAAATCTCAATAAAGACTGTTATGAAATGGGACATACATCACCAGTTCTACACAACCATACACAGAACACAATCTTACTTCTATATAAAGGCATGTAAATACATGAGAAAAGAGCAAAATCATATAACTAAAGAGCTCCCTAGAACACGTCTTTTGAATTATAAATTATTGTTTAAGTTAATTATGACAAAAAAAGCCTTCCATGTAAAATTCGAAGGCAAAGAATACTTACCTAATCAACGAAAACAAGTTTCTGCGTTTAGTGAACAATGTATAAGAACAGAAGCTACCTCAAACTTTCTGTGTCATTCAGGTGATCTGATCGGCCAGTTGAAGGCCTGTAAAAGAAACAATGATGAAATAATGGAGCTCAAAAAACCAATATTTTTGTTTCCTTTATGGTGATAGAGAATCAGAAACAGATCCAAGTGCTCTCCTTTCACACTCTCCGACATTTAAACTCAGAGTTCGATTAACCGTTCGATCAGCTTTGCAACACAGACGCCTTGGAACCTGATCAATAATTAATGAGATTGAAAAGGTTAAGAATGCATTAGTTTATAAGAGAGAGAGAGAAAGTTAAAATAAGCAAAGAAAAAGAAACACAGACCAGATGCCAATTTTCACTCAGCGGATTCCCAAATATCCGAATTTCGTCAACACGACGAAGAGGGGGTGAATGGGGAAAGCAAAATACTTTTCTTTTCAAATCATCGCCTTGTTTAGACCGTGAGTAAGTACTGACAGAAATACCTCCAGACCCATCTTCAACAACATTTCTCAGAAAAAATAGAATGGACTTTTTACAGATGGATTTCGGCGGATCCTTTGTATCAAAGTCAAATTCAGATCGGTGACCAATTCGGTTCCAAGCAGTATAAGTCAGCTCCGAGCGCTCGAGCTCCCTCGGGAGGACGATGTTCGGGTATACTTGTACGACGTATCCCAGAGAAACAGCAAATGTGATCCTCTCATCCTTGTCATAACAAATGGCGCGCTGCAAGAAGCTTCGAGAATTTATTCGTGAAGCCTTGGTGAAAAGTTTCAGGCTCTCTAGATGGCCTAAGCCGGGGTAAAGTGGTTTCACAGCTTCAACGTGGTGTATGGAAATGAATGGAGTGATAGGATGAGCAGCCAAAAGGCCATGCGCATTTCCTCTAATATCCCACTGATAAAAAGGAGACACCAGTAAATGAGGCATGCAATCCACACTGACTAAATTTTATAGCTTCATTATTACATATATTATCATAATTGAATTAGAAAAAATCATGTGTTGCTAAAAATCTTCATTTAAATTACCAGAAACAATATAAAGTTGACAAAGAAATCATCCGCAAAATGAAGGCTAATAAGTATGTAGAGAGCATGACTGAAAAATGAAGGGGCATTTACATACATACCCCAATTCCTACGTAATTGCACATCAACACCTAAAATTTAATTTTTACATTCATACCACCCAAACATTTCATATCACATCAAACATACCATCATTTTTATTTTTAAAAGGTGAAATACAATTTTCATCCATAGGGAAGGTCACATGCATGTAAAAATTGAAATTTATGTGTTAGATATGTAAATACATAGGAATTGAGTGGTATATATGTAAATCTTCCAAAAATTGAATATAAGAAAAAATGGAGCAGCCTTTCTAGAGTGATATGCTGCACTATTAGAAATTTAGATGGCTAAAGCAGTTTATGTTGTAAGACTAAGAAATGAAGAAAGAGGGAGGAGGAGGTATTGATTTCATTCAACTCACAGAGTTACACTAAATGACATTTAAATAAGAAGACGAGCTGCCGATAATATCTTTTCTGCTGTCATCATTTTACTTATCTGAAAGTTGTGATTTGTGATGAGGTTAACGTCCAGTGGCTAAGAATCATGATCAGAGGTTATATCTGCTCCAGCCGATTGCAAGGTTAGGCGACTATCGCTATTACCTCCCCTCAAGCTGATGATCAATGGTTGCAGTTTCGGTTTGCCACACAGTATGTTAAAGTGTGGTGTAGGAACAGCTTCTGTGAATATGTCTGTGACTTGAACTTGAGTGCTTGTGTTGATAACGTGGAGCTCATTAGATTTGATGTTTTCACATGGAATATGGTGGTCAATTTCTATGTGCTTCATCTGAGCAGAGTTGTAAATGAACTAATTCACTCAATGAACAATTCAAATTCGACTCGACCAATACTCGATCAAATTTGTTCAAATTAGTAAATACAAATTTTGAATATTTTTTAAAAGCTCGAATATTATATAAACCAATTTATGTTCACGAATAAATTTGTTTGTTGTTTAACAAGAAATTTGTTAATAATATATAATTATATGATATATTATTTAAATAAAAAATTACTTAACTAGAATTTATTTAATTAGATATTTAATAGTACCGTATTATAATTTAATATCAACAAGCATATTAATCTAATTCAATTCTTTTTTATTTATTTACTTCAATGAACTATTTCTGTTAATACTTATTTATATTATTTAATTACAAGAAATCTTACAGCTTAAATATTATTTGATTTGATTAGCATAAAATGCTTAAATGGTAATTTGAAAATTACATGATAGTTTCTTTGTTAAGAGTTATAAAATATTTGTTAACAACTCTATATAAAAAGTCAAATATTAATTTAAACTATTAACTTGTTTATCAATCCATTGAAGTACATATCCAATTCACATATATTATTCAATTTTCAAAATAAGTACAATTGCTAAAAAAAATTAAGGAAGCAAAGTATGAACATTTATGTGAAAGTTATGCTCAAGCTCGAGTCGAACATGAACAACTCATAAAACGAGCAAACCGAGTACAATCCAAAGCATAATCAACTCGATTCGGCTCAATTATAGTCCTACATTTGAGCATGAAAGATTTGATTTATAATGATAGCCATTGTCAAGTTATTGTCATAGTAGATGGCGAAAGATTGGGTTATGGGTATGTGTGGAGCACTTTTAGTAGTCAATAAAGACAGTTGGTGTCTAAGGCGGCAGAGGTGAGAGCTCAATATTCTACATCAACTGATGATCGAGCAGCCATGAGTTACTTCATGCCAAGAGATGGATGTGTTGTCAAGGATGATTAATGTCCAGTGGTGGATCTCCTATCACTTAAGTCACTTGCCCAAAATATGTAGGAGAATGTAAGGCAAGGCCTTGAAGAATCATAATAGGCATTTTAAGAGATAAAAGGAAAAAGAAAGTGCATATGTTAGCAAGGTTGATTGATTAAAAATGAGATATCAAGTTTGGTGATGGTAAGATATTGATGTGAGTTGACTAAGTGTTTATACAATGTTGGACTAGCAAGTGGATGATAAGCATCTAGTAAAAGGATGAGCTGGGAGAATAGAGAGTTAAAGATAACCTTGCAATCCGTTATTCCAACTCTATTTAATATATTAGTGGCCTATTATTCCTGTGTGAGTAGTAGACCAAAATAGGCTCTCTAGATGTGGATGCCAAGAAAGTGGGAAGCCAAGCAAAGGAATTTGATTGAGAAAGCTTCTTGAAGATTTATGAGCAATGTGTTGCGTTGATTATAAGAAAAATGACATCCACGTATACAAGAAGTAAATTTGAATATGAACACGGTAGTAGATTTTTGAGTTTGCTAAAGTTGAAACTGAGTTTCATAAGATGACTACGAAAGATGTTAAGAAATTGCCTTGAAGCTTATTTAAGACCATAGATAGCCTTTTTCAACAGACAACAAAATTTGGATATTATGAGTCACAATGGTCTGGAAGTTGATGCTCATATACAGTTTCTTGTAAGGTAACATGGAGAAGTACTCTCGCACTTGTGATAGAGAGCTATGGTAACAAGTATTCTTATGGTGGGTATTTTGACGACAGGTTAAATGGCTCAGTGTAATTTATGCCTTAATTCTTATTTCTACCTTAAAGCAACTAAGCAGCCTTTATAGCAAAAAAAATTTCGTCAATATGATGTTTGATTATGTAGGTCCATTTGCTATCGATTATGGTCTAATTACATGAAAGAAGAACTAACGTCCATGTACTTTGGCTTTTAAAAGCATGAAATTCTTGTGCCATGGCATGTCCCCACTATACGTGCTCGAGTGCTTCAAAATTGATGGGTTCCACAAAAGTATATTTATGTAATACATCAAAAATTTGTTTGGGCAGCAGAGACTCTACTCCTAATAGGTTGACCATGGAATGTATATGATGTGTAGGTGATAGTTGAGGAAGAGGCAATGATGTTGGTAGTTCAAGTGAATAGAAGTGTAGTTGGGGCAGTGAAGATGAGCAGAATGCTTCTTCTGTGGAAGTATGTTGAGGAAGGTGCTGATTAGTAGTAATCAATGGTAGTAAGGATTAGAATGCGGTTGGTGTCAGAGTTGGGGAATGTTAATGGATGGCAACTTAGGTGTTGTACAAGATTGAGTTTTTGTTTAGGGCAAAAAGCTTTCACTAGATGTGACATGGCGATATAGAAATTAGTTTTTCGGTGGAGAGATTTGGACATCTGTTGCTACTGCTATTTTGGAATAGCCTAGAAGACATAGGTATGAATGAGGCGCGATTTTGTTTCTATGAGATGGTGATATCCTTGGGAAGCAGGCACAACTGTTTACTACTAAGTTTTGAGTAGTCTGGTGATTTTCGATGTAGTATGGAGGCCTATTTTGTTGACTTTGGATAGCATGCAATTTATTAGGTAGAAAATCTTGAGCAGTGGGTGTATAGAGATTGGTGAAGGTCAAATTCAAAGTGTAAAGAACAAGTAGCTTTCAAACTATGGTAATATTTGTGTTGGTTGAGACCCATTTTCTTGAGGGTGTATGGACAACTTATTTGGTGAATTATACTATTATTAATGAAAAATTATGAAGTGTGGGGATTTGGTATTTAACTCGCTGTCAAATCTTAGGATTTTAATGGGAGCTGTGCATTGAATTTCAACCATTAGTTTAAAGCATATAAATTGATTCATTGCTTCAACTTTTGTTAGCATAGGAAAACACTAAGAATATCGGTAGAAATCAACAATAATAAATAACACATGTATTCTTGAAATGAAAACATTGAGAACGGACCTCAAATATCACGTGCACTAATTCAAGAAGTTTGTAAGAGTGATTGCTAGGAGCAAAAAAGGGAAAACTAATGATTTGTGGCAGCTCCACATAAGTTGCAAAAAAAGAAGTTAATGGAAATACATAAGGTTCTATTTTGTTTGAAGATAGTTGTTGTGGTCTGATGGTTTGGATAACCAAAATGGTGATGCCAAACTTCAGTGGCAAATTTGATGGGCATCAAAACTGATCAAGTGTTGATGATGGAATAGAGATTGTTGTGGCATGGTGCTTGGAACATTATATGGTGCACCTTTAAGTCCTTAATTTTGAAACTTTAAAAGTTAAAAAGAAATAGAGCAGTTATTATCAATGGTGAGATGGGATATGAAAATGAGATTATGTGATATATCAAGAGCACGTAGAAGTTTGGAGAAGGAGCTGGCGAGTGGATGCCAATAACAATTTGTGATTGGTTTGTTTTATTGGAAGTGAGAGAGAAATTTATCACAAACAAAAATCTTGTATGTTCCTTGATAAGGTTCCACTTGCTGTGAATTCTACAAATTGGTTGGATGCCTTGACATTAAAATATCAATCCCATTGTGGGGAGGGAAAAGGAGTGACTAGATCTGTAGCAATTGCTAAAGCTGAAGGAGCATAGTTGGGATTAGGTGTGCCAGCATTAAAGTGCTCTATGATCTTTCTAGCCACAAATCCACTAGGAAAGTTGAATGAGTGGTTCGCCACCCATGTTCAGCTGAGATGGATGAGTTGGACGTTGATTTTGTTCACATTAGCTATTACGGCCTCTTCCACATGATGATTTACTATAGTCACATCCACAATAGTTATAAAGGCTGTGTATGAATCAGTTGTGATGGATACAAGGGAGAGTTTATAGAAAATGATGATTTCTTCCCAGCACAAAAGCTAGTAAAGGTCCCTAAGCTTATTAGGGTCTGCTTAATCCTGATTGTTATTTTGAAAGCTTTACATGAAGCAAGTATACCATTAAGAGTATACAACTAATACATGATGATGGCTTGTGTCAATGGTGGAGCCAGCTGCTACAATGTTGTCCACGATATTTGATTTGGCTGTTGTCAGGTAATTGTTTGATTCCACATTGATATATTATGCATTTCAATTTTTTTCTAAGTACCCAAGAATGATTTGAAGCTTGGAGTTTGCATTCAATTAACGTCCAGTTGTCCAAGCAGGAGTCCAAATTGAGCACACATCGGAGTATAGATGCAGCCATGGTAGAGTACAGAGTAGCTGCAAGGTTTTGGTTGAGGAGCATCCATGCGGTGTAGTGGGGTTGAGAGCAACATGACCAGTGGCATCAGTCATCATTTTTTTCATGGAGGGGTAGTGCCATGAAGAAATCCGTCAAAGCAGTTGGCCTTGAATACTTTCATTATTTGTGAGTTCCATATCGGATGGTTGCCTTGGGAATGGCAAAGTCGTTGATTTTGAGTGAAGCAAAACTATCGTTCAAATAGGAGGTGGCCGGTTGATTCAGTTATGGGTGACCTTTGAGTCGGTAAAGCAAGTGTCTTTGATAGCATAGAAGAGGTAGCAGCTATCTAGAGTGATATGCTATACTGTAAGAAATTTGGATGGCTAAAGCAGTGTGTGTTGTAAGAGTGAGATGGAAAACAAGAAAAGCATAGGAGGGATTGATTTCATTCAACCCATAGATCTACGGTACATTGTATTTAAATTAAAAAAGAAGCTGCGCATGGTAATCTTTTCGGTTACAGGGTCTCTTCATGTGAATCGTTTTAATTTTTGAGGAGGTTAACATCCTGCAGCTGAAAATCTTGATCCGAGGTTTTGTCTTCTACACTAGCAGAGGGTATTAGAAATTTATTGAAGATAGAGACACAAACCTGGTGGAATCCGTACTCACGGCTTAGAGGGACACCAAGCTCAGAAATACAAGCATGCAGCCGATCATCACTGCCATATAATTTCGGATACCTCTCAAGGCAATCATCCAGAGTCCCAGCAAGAGCCTCAGCAAGAGGATAGCTTATGGCAATCCCCCCACCACCAAAAGCCATGGCATGGCTAAAGTAAATATTAGCCGAGTGGCTCTCCGATGGCCCTCCAACATACACCATCTCCCTCCAATCGTACTTCGAGAGAACAGCCACTAGGTTATCAGGACTCACAATGGTATCGTCGTCGCAAAGCATGAACCACCGGACGTCGCGATGGCCGAGTCGGAACGTCTCTGATATGATTCTTGCGATACGAAGGCCAGAGGGGTGACCGGTGGGATTTGTGTATCTAAAACGCGATATATCATCGGAAACCCGGACAGGCGGAAGGGAGGCCGAAGCGTTCCGCGATTGCCGCACGCGATCGTCGAGCCAGACGTGGCCGCGCATCACCCCAGGCCGCCACCACAAGCGAATGAATTCTCGCCGGCGCTGCCAGAGGTTGGCGGAGCTGGCGATGCCGAAGACAATATGGTTTAAGGAGAGCGGGGAAAAGGAACTAGAGTCTGGACTATGCGAGAGGAATAAAGAGGCTGGCTTCTGAGGCGGGGGAGGAGAAGAGGAACGCGAGGTGGAAATCGGATGAGGCGAGTGGGCAGCGGAGGTTGAGGAATCCCATGCGCGGAAGCGGTGGAGGTCGAAGCTGTGGCTGGGATCGAAGACGAGGAAAAACCAAGCGGCTGAGGAACGAAGGAGAGCGAGGAACGGGGGCGGCGGCTGCCGCTGCGATGCGGCCCTGACGTCGATGGCGGTTGGAGAAGCGGCGAGAGGGGCGGGGAGAGGCGGGAAGGGAGGGCGGCG